GAGCCATTAATTTCTAATGTTAAAAGTTATTAAGCAACTAAGCTGGAGTCTTGCTGTATTGCATCTCTCCTAAAGCAGGCTCTCATTCAACAGAAAATCTGAAAACTGCAAAAGCCACCCCGGTTAATACAACTACAAAAAAAAATACTTAAGTTTTAAAGTTCTCTTACATTCCTACTACCAAGTTTTAACCTCATACTTGGAATAGTTTCTGGATCCCTGAAATTCCCAAACCAACCTTTAAACACACTAACTTAGGCCTTCATAGAGCACTTGTCAGCAGGAAGGAACAGCTTAAATATCCTGGTTTACCATCTGGTTTTTATACTCAACGTCTTGAGGCCAGCGAGGTTCATAGGACAAGGTAACAATTTTATTAGACCAGAAGATACAGCCGGGGGGGGGATAGTACATATGTTTTTGTTAAAATGTAAAAGTCAGGAGAGCCTCTCCAACTCCTACCCTACCACATGAGACAGCAACAGCTAGACAGGGTTCCAGAAGTAAAATTCCTTTTAAAGAATAGAAATAAGAACTGTAAATGCTAAATAAATATAACTAGTTATCCATGTAGCCATTCTAATGGATAGATTAATCTCAATGAAGATTAACACCTAGAGTTTTTCTTAGTAATATTTCTCACTGCTCATATGAAATCCATTCATAGCACATCCCCCAGAAGCTTTAGGTAACCTGAAGCATCTGGATCTTCTCTCTAGCCCAACTATCACATTGAGAAACAGAACAACAGATTTAAAAATTTTAAAAGAGAAGGGAATCCAGAGCTCTTCCAGTAAGTTTTGACAAGTCTCCATCCACATACAAAAAAAAAATGTAGGCTTCAGATATGGAGCTTTGTATTAGAATACATTCTACTGTATGCATTGTAGATATTAAAAAGCACAGCTTCTGTTGCTTCCCAGTCCCATGTCAGGTCTACAGCACCTGGACCCTCTGCATCTGCCTACACATTCTGGAAGAAATCGAGGTTTGACCAATATCCCAGTCCAGTTTTAAACAAAGTCCATCTGACTGTGTTCATATGCAGACAAGATCCTCCTCCTGGGAATCAGTCACCTTAGCTGCCAGGATTCCTGTCTTTCTGGCAGGGACGAAGGACAAATGAAATCCCTCTGCTATGCAAAAGCAGAATATTCTAACACAAAAAGAAAAGGTTAAGAAATTTGAGGCACTTATAGTTGAGAAGAACTTGGCCCACAAAATTCTCCAAAATTTTGAAATTAGTGATAGAAAACATGTATTTAGCATTTTAAGATTGGCTCATGATACTGTGTCTACTGCCAGAAGCCTGGTCCCCCAGAGTTGAAGATTTTTGAAAAGAGATCCTGAAATTGCTATTGGAGGGAGATTACACACTCTCCTTCATAAGCAGGAGGATGGCTTTTACCAGTGTTACAGGAGGAGCCAGGAGAAACAAAACCAAGAACTCCAAAGTTAATCCTTGTCCTCCCAGAGGACTACTACCTAAACTCAGTTCTAATAAATAAGAAGCCAGACTCAAAGTTCACTTTCCCTTCTCAGAAAAGGTTTCTTCCATGAGATTCATAAAGGACCAAATGGCAGAGAACCAGCAGCAGAAGCCAGTGCTCCAGGTTCAAAAGCTGGCTCTAACCATGCATCCTTCCCATCCCTGTAGTATAACCTTTCCTTAGAGCCCTGTTATTTCCCTCATATGTACGCTCTGTTCCACTATTAAAAGATTACTCAATACTAAAGTCATCTTTTTCATCTCCTGACCACTTTCTTCCTCTTGTCACTATTCCTCTCCTTATCTTCCTTCTAATTTCCCTTTCATCTTTTCATTCTCAACAGTTTATCCATCAGTCTTGCTCACACGTCAGTTCACCACAACATCCCTTTAAGTTCCATCCTCAAAATACATCCATCTCTACAAATATTTTTAACTAATATTAAAGTATTAAGCATATAAAATCCTGCAAAAGGACACATAGAACAGACAGCATATTCTACATTCACTGCCCTCCTTATTATTCCACCTATGTGTTCCTGACGAGATGTTGCTGTAGAGTCCGAAAGATTTCACGGACCAGGACTGTCTAATGATCACAAAGCTAGTACAGATGTCTGACAGAAACTGGGTGGAGGGCTGCAGGGAATGGAAAAGATTAAGTATCTACTTTATTCTTGCAAGGCGAAGAAGGGTCAAGAAGCTTCAGAGCCAACAGAGTGGAAAAAGTAAGCAGGAAGCAGGCAAGAGAACACTACTTTTTTAAAAAGGACTTCCTCTGACTTACAAACTGCTGTAGAAAGCCATTATCAGCAAGTAAGAGCTGCTGATAGCTCTCATTTGAGAGCTGTAAACATTTTTAAATACGAAGTGACCTGCTGCTGACTCCATCTGTTATTTCTCAGCTGCTGGAGTGAACCTCAGGCAGAAGGTCAGAGGAAACACGGAGCAGAAGTCTGGGAGGGTTACAAAAGGTGACCAAGAGAATGGACAAAGAATGTATAGTCACAAAGGTATCACAAACTTCTGAAACTTGAGTTTATATGGAGGTAAGAGTGCACATCACACTACAGGAAAGACATGTCAAAAAAATTGAATGACTCCTTCTATAGGGAGGCACGGAAGGCTGGAAAACATCTGCTGATCTCTCCCAACATCTACATCCCTAGCCTCCTCCCTAACTTGGATGAGGATCTGTTTTTATAAATAACTAATATAAACACATCTCCAGGAACACCTGTGACAGTTCATGGCACTGTCCTGACTGCAAATCTTGGATCTTGAGAGCAGCACCGCTTCCTCAGCTTCACACCATACCCTGAAGCACCCTCAGCTGGGACTCCACATGGCAGCAAGGCAACTGCACTACTACTGCAGGTCTCACACAGATGAGCACTGCTGGATGATACAGGGACACCAGTAAAGAAAAAAGTCACCTAGCCATATTTGAAAAGATACATGGATAATTCATTGTATGAATTATTTCATATAACCTTTCAAAGTTGTTATATATTTATGCAGGAGACATGCCCTGACCCCATTCAGAATGCAGTTGTGGCAGGTACTGTTCTAACACACCATTTTATTGCTGCTTATTATTGCATATGCCAGTCCTGGGCCACATGAAGCTGCGCCTGTACCAGAATCTCTCTTGCAGCAAAGTTTCAGAAGATTATAAGAACGTTTTTATGAATGAGAACTGGTTTATAATGTAAACCCTCGTATATATATGGGAGCATGTGCTTATAAACAGTTTGCCAAAAATTAACAACTGTATCTGGTGGCACACAGAAAAGATGTTCCAGCAGTATCACGTGTCATTTTTTGCTAGTAAGTCATATTAGTATACCAGAATAGAAGACATCATTATATACCCTAGACATTTTCAACACCATTCTTACAACTTGAGCACTAATACTTTGGAAAAACTATGGAGAAAGCAATACTTGTGAAGAGAGGTGGATAAAGGGAAACATAAAACTAAGCCCAACTTGGCAGTGAGATGAACTTGGGAGTGAAACACTGCCCCTTCCCCCAGCCAGAGCTCCTCTGTGATGTGCTGTTCTGCAGCATGCCTGGGATGATACACTTGGAGCAGGCAGCCTTAGCTTGCTGTATGCTGTGGTCAGTGCAGCGTGTCTGTACACCAGTGCATGCACAGAATACAACCACAGAAGTTGAACCGTGTGAGAGTTAGTTCAAAGAGGATTTCTCTGTCAACATCCAGGTTTCTATTTACTGCACTTTTCTATTTTTACTGAAAAATCCTATAAACTACATGAGCATACACAGTGTCGTGCATAAAACTTGAAAACCTCAACTGTAAAACTCCATTTCAATAACAGGACTATGTTTCCTGGAAAAAAGCATTAACTCAGTTGTGCTAAGCAAATACAGATTTCTATCCAAATTATGTACAACCATAAGGCTGAAATGGTCTTCTTAAGGTAAATAACTGAAATTAAGGTTTACAAGAATAAATGAAATTTCCATACCCAGGAGGGATAATACTTGTGCTCAGAGGCGATACACTATTTTTAGGACTATGAAGAGCTGCATTACTTCTAGCACACTTTGATTCAATTTTCAGAGTTAAACATTCGCTGGTCACATCTAGTACAACTGCTGCTCTGAATGCTCAGCAGTGTTATGAGCCAGTTCCCTCAAGATTTTTGTTTGAGAAAAGCTTCAGTTAAAGTTTCAGCATGAGATCTACATACTCTTTGATTTTCTTTTGGTAGGAGAAAAAAAATCACCTCTCTTTAATCTCTAGTTACATGCCTCTATTATGACCTATTCTAAACTTATCCCCTGGCATAGCAAACGGAATTTCACTAAATGCATAGATAGATATTGGACACCTTGTTTCCACTTTGAGCTCAGTACTGAAGGTAACGCTTACCCCCCCAGTAGTATGACATTGAATTGAGAATAAGTTTTGTATTTCCATCCCACATTTTACTTCCTCACACCCCTTTCTCTCCACCTACTAGCCTCCCAGAAGCAGCAGAGGCCTATGCCTCTTGCTCGATAGTCTATTCCAACAGCTGAGCCACAGGAAGAGTGCAGCACTGCACAGATGGAAGCAGAACAGTGTGCAGAGAACCTCCCAGCTAAAAGAAAATCCTTTTTAGATCTTACTATTTGATTAAAGAAAAACAGAGGAATAAAAAAAAAAACAAACAACCAAAAAACTCCAAATCCACACCAAAAAACCCAGCCAAAACAAACCACCAACCCACAACTATGGCATTTAAAGCAGCTATTCAGAAAAACTTATTCCCTAAAAAACATGGTCTAATTGTGAAGCAAAGAACTACACATACTAACCTTAATCTCAAAACATTAAAAAAAAAAATCTCCAACTTGGTAAATGATTGCTTAATAGCTATCAACTCAACTACTAATTGGATAAGAGAAGTGTAAAATATTTTATAGTCACTAAGTATATAACAACTTAAACTCTTGATACAGATTGCTTAAATTTTGAAGAAAAAAAATAAATACTTACCACAGTGGGGTTACCACTGCTGATCAACTGGCTGACTTCGTGAAAAATGCTTTTGCAGTCGATTGATTTGTCTAATGATCCCCGTTTCACTATCACCGCTACTGCTAATAAAATCTGCTCCCGAACGTACTTTTGAAGGCTGCAAACAACATTGTACAAACATATTTGCAGATAATTCTGGACATCAATGCTCAACAAACTTTAAACACATTTCTTTTTCAAATATTTTGTGTGAATTCATAAGGGAAAGCTGACAACTCTACAGAAGCTAACTGCTAAGAATGGAAGACAAATTATTGTTATAATGGTCTTCCACCACTACCTTGGGAAACACAAAAAGGATAACCCAGACTTTATGCAGGATCCTACAAGTTCAGAGGTATGTTTTCGATACTCACTTAGGCCTTTGTAAGACATAGGTTAGAAGGAATGTTCGCAGTGACTCGATGCTAGTTTTTTCCAAGAGAATCCATTCTCTTACAACTGCTTCCATTATCGCTGTAGCAGCTTGAAAAAGGACATAGTCTACTTTACTAGTTTCTGTGGGGAAAAACAAAGGTAACTTGAGTATTAGAAGACATGCATGTATTCAGCTTGAATGTATTTCCAACAAAAGAAAACTAATGGAATTTACTATTATTTATTAATAAATGGGATTTTGTTGCTATAAAAACCAAGGAGGAGAAATAATCAATAACCCAATTATTAAGTTGTCCAATATTATTCAAGCCAGTGACTTAAGAGAAAAGTTGTCTATGCTACGAGCCTGGTTCAAAGATCAGGAATAAGAATGCTAACACAACTGGGGAACAAAATAAACAAGATGACAGATTTAGTCCCAACATCTTAAATAATTAAAGTGACTAAGCTGACAAAGAGAAACAAGTCCGCTTACACTTAAAGATAATATTTGTGTTTAATTATCCAAGAAAAAATGTTACAGACTAGAATTTGAAGTTTTCTACATCATGTTAAAGCTTCCATATCCATCTTAGGGTAATCAAAACATAACTTCTGACCACAGTGTAGGAATCATTAGTCCTTATTATCTGCATATGGGATTACTAGGTATACAGATGCACTACAGAAAGTATAAAAATATGTTCTGGAGAAAGGTAACAGTTTGGTGACTACAAAGTACAATTTAAAGAGAAATGTCAGAATATGAATATAATTCCTATTATAATAGAAAGCTACAGAGACTTTGTTGTTGTTGTTGTTACTTTGCTTTTAAAAATTTTAACTTGGAAATAGCAGGTAGTATCTCAGAAGCCAGTTTCAAAACATTCTGAGCTCTGCAGAAAACACAAAAAGAACATTAAGAAAGGGTGTAGCCACAGGGTGAAATGGTGAAATAAAATTCCCAAACAAGAAGCAGAGTTTGAGCTATAGTGGGTGACCCACCAGGACTAGAAAAACTGAGTTTGTTTGAAAAAACATCAGTCATGAGAGGAAGGGTTTTAAACTACTACAAAACAAACTTTCTTCCCCCAATTACAAACATGCTAGTTTATAATATAAATTTCCATTATATGCAAGTTCTAATCCAAGATGGCAGCTAATTTGCTACAGTATTTTTATGTTATTTAATCAGGCTCCAAATCTAAACCTACACAGATAAACATGCTTAAATCAAAATAAACCACCTTAAAATCAACTTAGCTTAATTTGGAAAACTAAGTAACCACTTAAGTAAAAGATTAATGTGTATGTCTACGAGATACATAAAAACGAACTGAATTATTCCTGCATGGGAATTTTAATGCTGGCATTTGTCAACTTCCAGGTCTTTGGCTTTTCTAACTGTACAAAGCTCACACAAAACAGAGAATGCAAATAAAAAGGACAGAATTTCTCCTTTGTGTCAAGAACTGCAGATGCACAACTGGAATCATTAACAGCACAGATCTCCAGTCCCCAGCGTAAGCTTATAACTAGCCAGAGCACCGTTATCCTCTATGTGAAGTTACTAAAGAAAGGAAGGGCAGGCTTTGGCAGTACGTTGAACAGCTATAAGCTTACAGCAGAAGAACGTACAGTCTAGTGCTTCCTGGGTTCAAGTCCAGGTTTTTAAAGAAACGGCATAGTAGTGGTTGTTCCCCTTTTCCTTATGCTCATCATCTCCATTACTCTCCCTGTATCATTCACACACTTTCCACAAATGACATCAACATCCTTTTTATCTCTCTCTACATCCATTCCAGTTCCTGCCTTGACCATTTTTTTTCTGTTTCTTTTTAAAGCCATCTACTTTGTTCCTGTGGTTCCTGCCCATCCTGACCACCACATATTCCTTCACTACACTTCCTCTTTTATTCTTCGTCATGAACAGCTTGTCTCCATTCTCTAGTTCCCAATTTCATAATCCCTGCCTCTCCCTTCTCAACTCCCAAGTTGTGAAAATAAATAGCTTCAATTTTGCTGACCCATAAAGCAAAAAGTGTGACTGCAGTCTTCAGGACCAGATGAAGTACTCCTATAATATGTTAAAACCAGAAGAAACCCATTTGTAGAAAAACATTTTGGTTGGGAAGTGGGTGTAGGAAAAGAAGCACACCCTGCTCTATATATCACAGTATAATTTAAAAATACAGTAGTAGGCCTGCAATACTGACATCATAATATTAATGAATTGTAAGTTTCAATCCAGTAAATTTAGAAATAACTGTTAAAAAATACTGTGGAATGAATGAAGTATGAAAATAATAATATTTTAAACAGAATTCTAATATTTCTCTGCTCATTCTGGCAAATGCTTTGAAAGAAAAGTTGCTTTTTGTGGGTTTGGCATGTGTTCTTTTGCATAAACTTCTAGGTTTCCCTCATCAGGGCTCAGAGTCAGCTTTCATCAAAACCTCCCCATTGCCTGCACCCAACGCTCACATCTGGTCAGTACAATGGTGCTTGCTACATCATTACTGCTCCTGTAATTTTCAGATTATTTAGCTGCCCAACTCTAATAAGTCTCTATAGCACCTGTAAAAACAGATTTATTCTTAAAGACTTGTTAACACAACCACATTTACAGCATTTCCATTACAATCAAAGAAATTGCTATAAAGGGTGATATCTGCCTATCTCTTTCCTTTTCCACAGGTATAATCACACAAAATTTCAAGTCACCTGCTTTTACCAGGTGGACAGAAACTTTTCTATTTTTCTTTAACAAAACAGTTGGACATAAATCGAAAAAAAGGCAGCAATAGGCTTCACCTTTCATCAAAAACTACCCCTCATCAAAATCAAAACTGATGTTCATACTCCCAGCTGCAGAAGAACAGCACAGTTCCAATTATAAAAGCGTGTACATACCTAACTTCATTTATTAAAACTTACCCAAAATATGTTTGCAAACAGCAAATGGTGATTTTGATTTTCTAAATGATAAGAATATGTGCTCAGCATGTTGGCGTTGTTCATTATTGACCATGGAAGGTGGTGCCTGAAAAAAAAAAAAAAAAGGTTATTCAAGCACTGAAACCCCATCCTGATTGTAAATATAGTAAGAGCAATTGTCATGAACTTAGAAATGTTTGCCTTGTTAAACATCAAAACCAAGTATCTCCAGGCAAAACTACTTGCTCTTTCTCAGTCATAGCCTCTTCTTATATACCACTGTATATTACGTACATTACATGTACGTAAGTGTGAATATTGAGACATCAAGCAGAGAGTGAATAATTCTAAATATAGTGTTCCTAATGATGCTTCTGAAGAAAGCTAAAAGTCGATCTAAATTCAAGCCATTTTTCTACTCAAACCAAAAATATTACTGCACACCACTAAATGCTGCTGCACATGCTCAGTCTTGGAAGCAAAGCACTGTTTTTTCTTTAGTTCTACATTTGGTTTAAAATATTTAATTGTGTAATAAATTCAAGGGATTAAAAAATCACTACAAATACATTCAAAAATAAAGTATTGTCAGTAACACACTACCCTCTAGTGTTTAATGTTGAAGTTGACATCCTGAAGATTTGAGTGCAACTGAAGAGACAGGTGAGCCTATTTGGGGATGGCTATATTGGTTCCCCAGCTGCTGACACCCATCCCCTTATATCCTGGGCACCTTGGCTGCTCAGGTAATACCTGCTGCTCTGCTGCTGAAAGGCAGCTCCATGACAGTTTCTACCTGAAAATCAGCTCCAGGTAAAGCATAAAACTACACAATAACCTGGACCACTGCAAGGTGCCTACAGAGCACAGATGAGAGTTAATTGCCTGCACTGCAGTCTCACCTCATGAAGCAACTCCAGGAATTCCCCCACACTGTCCCACAAGTTAAAAACAACCCTGTAGAAACCATCAGCTGCTCACAACACCACACTGCTCTCCACTTCTGCCACCAGTATTCTCAGATTTCTGCTATTTGGGATTTATCTGAACGAGCACATGGCACAAGATGCTCTTGCAAGGGATTGATACCACAAACAGGGTAAGCAGAACTAAAGCACCTTTGATTGCACATGTAGAAAGATCACATCCAAACTGCAGAGCTGGGTCAAGGTGATAGCATAGGTTATCAAACTTCAGCTACCAATCTGAGGAGAACGTGGGTGCTACCTATCTTTTGGCTGTGATTTATACCCACTGCTTTGGGAATAAAAGCACAAAGACCTTAGCATACAGATCAAGGTTTTTAACTTAAGTGAAATATTTGCCAGTAAATAAAACATATCAAATCTGATTTAATTCTTTCATCCTTGATGGAACACAAGATGACAGAAGACTCACATAAGAGGAAATAACACCAGAGATAACAATTTAATAATCTGAGTAAATGAAGCAAGGAAAAGCAGGCTGCTGATCCTTTGATCAAGGGGGTCCTAATAAACACCTCCTTACATAGCAAATTTTTGACTCTCACAGCTTTTCCTGTGCAGATATGAAGAATGCCTGTGAGGGCAGAAAAATAAGTAGTGGAGGAACGCGGCTTATGCAGAATAAATGCTCTGTCCCTTCACAAACCTGTTCTGCTCTGCAGCCACTTTGAGGGCAGGACGTCCCTGGACAGTGATTTGAACCTGTGCAGGACAGCTCTTACCAGCTCTGGGAACAAGACCACGGTGTTTGTCCATGCCCCTTTCTGGGCAGAGAGCAGTTCAGTGTTAGGCTGTGCATGTGCATAGATGCAGTGTGCCTTCAGTTCATGTCCCTCTTCCACACCCTCGGAGCAGCGTCTCAGGGATTAAGTCAGCAGGCTGATATGCACACAGGAAAACTTTCAGATATTTGGGACATTACACACTCCTGTATGTCTGAGACAGAAGTAAGCTCCATGGCACAGTCCAAGTCTTTCCAAGACACTGAGCTGCAGTGAACTCCAATCCAATGCAGAAACCCATTTTTAATCAAACGTAAACTTGTAAAGAAGCAGCCTCATCAAATGGGATACGCAACATTTCTGTGATAAAGCCTCAAGTCTTCTGCATGCAGCCAGCCATCAGCAGGAGCTGCTCCCAACCACATGTGCCTTCTGCAGTCTGAAGGACAGTACTTCTCTGCATGGACCCTAGCTACATTCCCTGCAACAGAACCAGCAGTACCGAATGCCAGAAGAATATTTGGTGCAGGTTATCAAAAATGCAAGAATGACCTACATAGCAACAGCTTAACACACACTTCAGTCAGTGCTATGGCAAATAAACCAAATCTACCAAACAAAAAAGCAATCCCCACATTTTTCCCTCATCGTATAGGCAAGCATTTGTGCAAATGTACTAAGAACCAGACTGAGGAAGTGATTACCAAAAATCATCCCACCAAAGGCAGGTCTTTTTCATCTGGATCAGCTCCCCAGTCTGATTCACCATTAGCCTAACAGAAACCCAAACTAGCACAGTTTAGGACCTACTGAATGGTAATAGACTGCTTTTTTCAGCATGAGTTACTATTTAAAGTGCATTTCATCTATAGCCTCTGTTGCTATGCAATGCCTTGGAATACTCTGAAGTCTCAAGAAACCCGCAGCTCTGGCCAATGATTTTTTGTGCAAATTAAGAATCAATTTTCTTGAAACAAGTAACTTATTTTAGTAACTCTGCTACCAAAAGGAGAGGTCCTACTCCTTTCTTGTTCTCACCTATGTGGTCTTGTTACCTCTTTGCATGATCCCTTCTATCAACTAGCCCACAAAAAAAACCAACAAACAAACCACAAAGTGTGAGGGGGGCGCAGGGGCAAGAGGAATGAACACTCTTTTGTTACTTTAATAAAGCATCAAAAAGCCAGACAAGTACCAGTGCAACAATAGGGAGAAAAGGAGTGGAGTAAAGTTTCCCTTTCAACAGTACAGACCTTGCAGCTCACAACTCTGCAGTCTTGTGAAGCCTCAATAACTACAGCCATGTTAGGAAAAATCCTTTGGGTGTGACAAAGCACGACATTTTTCAAGTTGGGTAATTTATATTTACATTTTTAAAGCAAGAAGACCAAATCAGGGCTACCTGATCTTGAACTAACTTTGCATTAACATTTGAGCTTGTCATAGAGAGATCCTGTCTATTTTCACCATTCTGTATTAAGGGCACTTTCAGGGTTATCAGTTGCAAACTATAGCACCGCTAAAAAAACCCAGAATTATTATAGGAAATACCCTCTTTATGCTTATAATAATGTAAAATAAGAGCTAATTCCTAGTTATTTTAGCTCTTCTACTTTTTTGAAGTCCAGTTACAGAGATCTTAGGCACCTTGGGAAGGTACATAACACATCATATTCCTGTATTGATTTTAAAAATCACAATAATTTAATGATACATTACACACTTAGACTCTAATTACTATCCAGAACAGACAAGTACAACAATCAAGGTTTAAACTGTACTATACATCCACCAGAGGGAGCTTAAAGCTTACAGTCTACTGCCTTCACTGCATTAAGACAGTATTTATCTGTACAACGAGAGTAAAGTACAGTTCATTTTAGGCTTTAAAGAAAAAGCCAGCATATACATATTCTGCACACAAATTTCATATTACAAGAATACTGGCTTAGTGAGCCCAAGAGCCCTGTACATCGGTGCCTAGCACCTCCTCAGCACAACAGGGTTAGAAATGTACCCCAAGTACTCATCATGCTTGGAAGGTCCCCCAAACACACATACACATTCACTGTTTTCGTTCTAATTGTCTCCTTCATTCTCTTCTCTACCATCCAGCTTACAAGGAATTAAAAACCAGTGAATGTAATTATCAGGGGCTCTTTTGGCATATTGAAACTATTTGCAGCTACATCCCTTCCACAGAATCACAGAACATGCTGAGTTGGAAGGGACACACAAGGATCATTCAAGTCCAACTGCTGGCCCTGCACAGAAGCATCCTCAAGAGTCACACCATGTGCCTGAGAGCACTGTCCAAACATTTCTTGAACTCTGTCAGGCTTGGTGCTGTAATCACTTCCCCCGGGAGCCTGTTCCAGTGCTCAAACACCCTCTGGGTGAAGAACCTTTTTCTAATATCCAATCCATACCTCCCCTGACACAGCTTCAGGCCAGTCCCTCGGGTGCTGTCACTGGTCACCAGAGAGAAGAGATCAGTGCCTCCTCTTTCTCTTATGAGGAAGTTGTATGGTCTGGTATGTACCTCTAACACCCATCTGTTCTCTCTTCTGTCCTAAAAGTTACCCGTAAAAAGTTATCCAGGACAATGATCATCTTTCTGGTTTTAGCACAACAAGCTACTGCCCCAAAAGAATAGAACTCCTACATGACACAGTATTATAAATAAAACTGCATCCTTTCAGCTACCATGACTGTGTGGATACAGAAAAGGAGCAGCAGCAGCACCTACTGATTAGATCCAGCAGGACTACTGATTTAAATGGCAGCTATTCACTCATGGGAAAGAAAAACTGAAAGAAGACAAGAGGCAGACTAGCACTAATACTTGCAGGACCACTAAACTTACCTGAAAGCCTGGATTACTAATAAGAAAGTAATGTAACTCCTCACCTTTCATATCAACAAGCTTATTAAAAAAAAAAAAAGAGAGAGAAAAATTAAGGCACAGTATCAATGACTGAATTGTAACAAATCCAATAATCATGTTAAAACATCTAAATCCTGCACATGCTTACAGATATCTCATACTTTCTCTGTGTTGTTGTGAAAAACTCCTTCTGAAAGGGAGGCGTTGGAACAGGTTGCCCAGGAAAGTGGTGGAATCACCACCCCTGGAGGTATTTAAGAGACATGCAGATGTGGCACTTGGGGACCTGGTTTAGTAGTGGACTTGGCAGTGCCGGATTAATGGCTGGACTAGATGATCTTAGAGGTCTTCTCCAACCTAAGTGATTCTATGGATCTATTTAAGGAAAAAGCATGGAAAAACCAAGGTCTTTGCTACCCTTCTCACTCCGCTTAGCAGAACACAGGTAATCATGAGGATTCACCATCAATGGTAAATGAGCCAGTAGAAAAAAAATCTTTTTGAAAAGAAT